CATGCGAACCCTGCCACTGAGGCCTTCGGTGGAGCTCCCTATGGGGCCACGAACCGTGTGAGGGGTGCGCCAAAATGGGCGGGGCCGCCATGCGAACCCTGCCACTGGGGCCTTCGGTGGAGCTCCCTATGGGGCCACGAACCGTGTGAGGGGTGCGCCAAATGGGGCGGGGCCGCCATGCGAACCCTGCCACTGGGGCCTTCGGTGGAGCTCCCTATGGGGCCACGAACCGTGTGAGGGGTGCGCCAAAATGAGGCGGGGCCGCCATGCGAACCCTGCCACTGAGGCCTTTAGTGGAGCTCCCTATGGGGCCACGAACCGTGTGAGGGGTGCGCCAAAATGGGCGGGGCCGCCATGCGAACCCTGCCACTGGGGCCTTCGGTGGAGCTCCCTATGGGGCCACGAACTGTGTGAGGGGTGCGCCAAAATGGGGCGGGGCCGCCATGCGAACCCTGCCACTGGGGGCTTCGGTGGAGCTCCCTATGGGGCCACGAACCGTGTGATGGGTGTGCCGAAATAGAAGCATGCGGAGGGTGATGGTGATGATGACGACCATGTTGGTGCTGATGATGATGACGATGACGATGATGATGATGGTGGGTGATGACGATGATGCTGATGATGATGAGACGAGGAGGGAGGAGGCAGCGGGAGGAGGAGGAAGGAGGAAGGAACGCGGGGCACCGTCTCTTCAAAACGAGGACCCAACACCACAGGATGGTTGGGAAAAAGAAAAGACGGCCAAGGAGAGGCCCCCAAGACGCCCCCAAGGCCCCCAAGAGGCCTAAGGAGGCTTCCGAGAAGCTTCCAAGAGGCCCTCGGGAAGCCCCCAGGAGGCCCCACAAGAGTGCCCCAAGAGGCTCCCAAGAGGCCTCCTCCTCCTCCTCCTCCTCCTCTTTCTCCTCCTCCTCCTCCTCCTCCTCCTCCTCCTCCCTCTCCTGATCCTCCCCCTCAGCCTCCCCCAAGTGTTCCCCGAAGAGTTTCCGGAGCGGCTGGGGGAATACATAATCAGATAGCTTGGCCAAGCTGGGGCCCAACGTTAGGCCACATAGGCGCTTCTCAAAAAGACTGGGGGCGGCGGTGATTCGCCGTAGGCGTCTTGGATCCGCCGCCCTCTGCGCTTGCCGCAGGGGTGGACGGCGTGCCAGACATTTTGCTGCTCTTGTCATTTTCAAACCCTTTCCAGTGGCCTTCGGCCCAGACCGCCTGCCCCTCGGAAGGACCAGGTGTGTCGCCACCAAGACTGCCCAAATGGCCCAAGATGGTCACCAAGATGCCTCCAAGGCGGCTAGGATTGCCCTCAGAGAGCCCAAGACAGCCCCAATCTGTTTCCAAGACGGCCCAAGATGCACTCGAGGCGTTCCAAGATGGCCCCAAGATGGCCCAGGACGGCCCCAAAGGCCCCCAAGAGGCTTCCAATGCAGTCCAAGAAGCTTCCAAGGGGACCTGCAGGAAAGCCCGAAGAGGCAAAGACAGCTGATTTCCCGTGGGCTCTTGACGGATTTTGACGTTTTCGGCCTGCCGACGGCCCAATGCCGCCCAAGAGACCCCCAAGATGGCCCCAAGAGCGCCCAAGAGGCCTCCAAGACGGCCCCATGACGGCATCCAGACGGTCCAAGAGACACCCAAGGAGCTTCCAAGACGGCCCACGAGAACTCCAAGGCGCCCACGATGGCCTTCAAGACGGCTCCAAAACGTCCAAGATGGCAACGATACGATTCGACATAGCCCCAGGATGGCCCAAGGCAGCCCCAGAGGGCCCCAAGGGGATCCAAGGGGACTCCTAGACAGTCTAGGAAGTCTTTAAGAGGACCTCCAGGAGAGCCCGAAATGCCCAAATGGTTGTATTCCCTTCAATTGTTGAATAAGTTGGGCGCGTTTCCTTTTTCGACTGTCCGACGGCCCAGGATGTCCACAAGATGGTCCCAAGACGGCACAAGCTGACTTCAAGATGGCCCCCAAAGGGCCCCAAGGGGCGAGGAAACAACCCTAGAGGAAGAGCAAGAGGAAAGGACGAAATCAGAGGCCCGAAGCGGCTCCGAGAAGCCTGCAGCTCAGCGCGGGCTCGTCTGCGGACGCCCTTCCCCCCCCAGGACAAACAGATCACCCCGAGGTCCGGTGATTTTTTGTGGGGCCGTCCTCTCAAGGCCTCACGGCCAGCTTTTGGGTCGAGGAGGAGGAGGAGGAGGAGGAGGAGGAGGAGGAGGAGGGGCAGGAGGACGAGGAGGTGACCAAGAGGAACCAGAGGAGCAGGAGGAGCAGGAGGACGAGGAGGTTGAGCAAGGGGTCAAGGACGGAATGAAAGGCCCGAAGCGGCTCCGAGACCAGACCGCGCTGAGCTGCAGGGTTTTCGGATACGCTTAAGGCCTCTCATTTTGTCCTTCTCCCCCTGCTCAACCTCCTCGTCCTCCTGCTCCTCCTTCTCCTCGTTTTCGTCTTGATCAACGTCCTCGTCCTCCTGCTCCTCTTCTTCCTCGACCCAAGAGCCAGCCGTGGGGCCTTGAAAGGGCGGGCTTTAAAAAAGTCACCGGGGGCCTCGGGCTGATTTTTTGTCTGGGGGGGGGCAGAGGCGTCCGCACACGAACCCGCGCTGAGCTGCAGGCTTCTCGGAGCCGCTGCGGACCAAAAAAGGCTGCCCTGCAGGCTGTCTCGGAGCCGCTGCGGCCAAAAGAAGGACACTACCAAAAAAGGCTGCCCTGCAGGCTGTCTCGGAGCCGCTGCGGCCAAAAGAAGGACACTTTGTCGGTTTAACTGTTGGGTCGCTTTGTCGGCTGATTTCGGGCGCGTCGTCGTCGTCGTGGTCGTGGTCGTGGTCGTCGTCGTCGTCGTCGTCGTCGTCGTCGTCGTCGTCGTGGTCGTCGTCGTCGTGGTCGTCGTCGCCACCCTCGTCGTGGTCGTCGTCGTCGTCGTCGTCGTCGTCGTCGTCGTCGTCGTCGTCGTCGTCGTCGTCGTCGTCGTCGTCGTTGTCGTCGCCGACCATAAGATGACCCCGAGAGGGCCCTAAGAGGGCCCCAAGAGGGCCCAAGAGGGCTCCAAGAGGGCCCCAAGAAGGCCCCAGGAGTTATGTACCAACCCAGCGGCCGCTGGTACATAACTCCTGAACCCTCTAGGGGCCCTCTGAGGGCCCTCTCGGAGCCCTCTTGGGCCCCTGGTTCGCCCATGAGACGGCTCCAAGAAGGCCCTGAGAGGGCCCCGAGAGGGCCCCTGTGAGGGCCCCGTGAGGGCCCCAAGATGGCTCCAAGAGGGCCCCAAGAAGGCCCCGGGAATTATGTACCAACCCAGCGGCCGCTGGTACATAACTCCTGAGCCCTCTAGGGGCTCTCTGAGGGCCCTCTCGGAGCCCTCTCGGGCCCCTGGTTGGCCGGTGTCCCCCGTGGGACATTGGAGTTACCCCGGTGATCCCCGTGGGACATTGGCCCGTGGGACATCGGAGTTACCTGGTGTCCCCCGTGGGACATCGGAGTTACCCGGTGGTTTCCGTGCGACATCGGCCCGTGGGACATCGGAGTTACCCAGTGTCCCCCGGGGGACATCGGGTAACTCGACTTTGCAGGGGGGGGTCTGGGCACGAGATGCCCGGTGGCCCCCCGTGGGACATCGGAGTTACCCAGTGGTCCCCGTGGGACATCGGCCCGTGGGACATCGGAGTTAACCGGTGTCCTCCGTGGGACATCGGCGTTGCCCGGTGGTCCCCGTGGGACATCGGCCCGTGGGACATCGGAGTTACCCCCGTGGGACATCGGAGTTACCCGGTGATCCCCGTGGGACATTGGCCCGTGGGACATCGGAGTTACCTGGTGTCCCCCGTGGGACATCGGAGGTACCCGGTGGTCTCCGTGGGACTTCGGCCTGGCCCCTCTTGAGGCCCTCTTACGGCCATCTTGGAACCCTGGTTGGCCCGTAAGATGGCTCCAAGAGGGCCCTAAGAGGGCCCCAAGAGGGCCCCAAGAGGGCTCCAAGAGGGCCCCAAGAAGGCCCCAGGAATTATGTACGCTGGTGCATAACTCCAGGGTCCCCCCTGGGGCCCTCTGAGGGCCCTCTTGGAGCCCTCTTGGGCCCCTGGTTGGCCCTAAGAGGGGCCTCTCGGAGCCCTCTTGGGCCCTTAGATGCAGTTCCACTTCAAATTTCGGTGCACCCTTCACGATTTCGTGGCCCCATATGGAGCTCCACCGAAGGCCCCAAGGGGGCTGCGCCCGCATGCGGTTCCACTCTCCATGTCGGCACAACGCTTCACAAGTTTCGTGGCCCCCTAGGGAGCTCCACCGAAGGCCCCAATGGCAACGCCTGCATGCGGTTCCACCCTCCAGTCTTGTGCATCCCTCACACGTTTCGAAGCCCCATAGGGAGCTCCACCGAAGGCCTCAAAGGCAGCGCCCGCATGCTGTTCCACCCTCCATTTCGATGAACTCCCCACACGTTTCGTGGTGGCCCCATAGGGAGCTCCACCGAAGGCCTCAAAGGCAGCTCCACCCCCCCCTTACGGCGAATCTCTCACACGTTTCGTGGCCCCCTAGGGTGTTCCACCGAAGGTCCTGGTGGCCCCTGTTGCTGGCCCCCTCCTTGATTTCATTTCGATGCTCGAAAAAACCTAGTGGCAGCGCCCGCATGCCTTCGCTCATTTCGAGGCCCCATAAGGAGATCCACCGAGAGCGATACTCACAACACGACGGCATTCACACTTGCATATGGTTGGGTCCGTCGCCAGGCTTTATTGCTTGTTTGCTCTATTGCTCTCTCTCTCTGTCTCCTGCTCTCTCTCTCTCTTTCTCTCTCTTTTGGCTCTCTCTCTCTCTCTTTTTTTTCTCTCTCTCTCTCTCTCTCTCTCTCTCTCTCTCTCTCTCCCCTTTCTCTTCATTTGCGCGCCATGCTCTGCAGGGCGCCCAGACCGCCCCGTACCCTTCTCCCATCCAGACCGCTTGCAAACCGTGCCGAAGAGATTCTCCCATCTCCACTTCGCATCCTTACGGGGGCTCGCCCACCCAAGGGGGTGGCCAGCGGAGGGGCGAGGGCGAGATCGAGGAGTTTGCGGCCGCGGAGGCCCCGTCCTGTGGGAGAGGGGACGTTTTTTTCAGGGGGGTCGGGCCCACTCTCCGCCTTTGGTCCTCCCTCTGGCATTCATCTCACTCCACCTCTTGTCCTCGTCCTGCTTCTCCTTCTCCTCTTTTTTCCTCCTCCTCACTTCTTGTTCTCTTGTTCCTCATCCGTCTTCGCATTCTCTTCCCCTTCCTCCCTCTTGGCTTCCTCCCCGTCGTCGTCCGCCTACCCTCCCGCTTCCGCTTCCTCCTCTTCGTCGTCCTCCTACCCTCTTAGCGGTTCAGGTGCTGCGGCCTGGCGGGACAGACCCGCCCCGCCCGCGCGATCCCCCAGCCGCCCGGCGCACGCGCGTCGTGGCGATCGGTGCGGCGGCGGGAGTGGAGCGGGATCGCTCCCGATCCCCCCTGCCAGGCACAAGGGCTTCACGACGGCGCAGTCGAGCGCGCGCCACACCCTGAGGATGGAGCGTGCGCGTTCAGGACATCACGGCGAACACCGAGGGATGTCATTGTGAGGCAAGGTCTGCGCCCCAATATGCTCGTGTGGCAGGCACGGGGCCAGGTAGACTTGGTGCAAGCACGGCAAGGCTCCGCTTGCCTTGGCTGCTCCTCCTCCGCAGCGTCGTGCTCGCTCTCAGGACCGCGAGCGGAGACCAGAGGGTACACCATTGAAGGGTCGGCGCCCATCGATGGAATGAAGGTCAGGTTCTCGCTCCAGGATGCCACGGAGGACGGCGGCGAGGCAGGGCTGGATATGGCCGACGCCGAAGAGTGCAATCTGGTCAAACTCATAGAGCTGCCCCACCTCTCCTCGGATTGAAGTAGCGTTGGGAAGTTGTGATACAAGAAGCTGCTCGAGGACATCAGGACTAATAACAAACAACCCCCGCTCACGGCCGACGCGGCCGCGCAGATCAACGAGAAAGCGGAACGAACTCTTGCCATAGCCTTTTATAAAACTGGACGCATTCGAAGCAACGTTGGATGGAGCGAAGTCGAGATTCTCGAAGGCTTCGGAGTTGCTCGACACGGCGCCGGAGGCCTACAAGGCGGCGGCCCGTATTTTGGCGAGCCAAACCGGGTCTGCTGATGGAGCGGCCCACCTCAGGAACCAGGAACCATTAAGCTGTCCGTCCAAACTGTTCTTGATGGGGAATAAGGGGAACTGGACGCGAATGGATTGTTCGGCCTGAAAGGTTCCGATGACCACGACGTCCAGGGAAGCGATGTGCAAGAGGCTGCGAGGAGGAAACCGGAGCTCCAAAGGCGCTCCAAGGAGATGGCCGGCCAATGTTCCGGGAAGTCGGTTGACCGCGCGAAAGCAGCAGGAAGCTCTCTAGGAGCGCCTCCACGCCAAGAAGAGGAAGAGCCAAGGGAATTCGCAGGATGAAGAGCAGATCTCAGTCGTACCCCAGCTCAAGAGGAAGCCTCAAACACTGCTGCAGCGGGAGGAACCTCATCGGCGGCAACCGATAGTTCTCCTGCAAGCCCAGCCCCGGCCAAAACCTAAATGCAGCAGGGACATGTCGGGCACCGGGCAAGAACCCGTCGGACCCTCAGCATGAGAAAGCAGAGCTGCAGAGACATCATCGACCCAGTTTTGAATGCTTTTTCGTCGGGTGCGCGCCAGGGTTGGACCCCCGATTTTTTGAGTTTCTCGAGTGTCAGTGGCATGGGCGCGATTTCCAGGAGCAACGTTCGGGCGACATGTCGGAGGAGTCTTGTGGGCCCGAGTCAGACTGCAGTGGCTGCTGCTCGGGGGGTGAGTCTTCCAGTGCATCGCCCAGAGGTTCAGCGTCGGCGCGCCCCTCGACATCCTCGCCGTCGGCGACGCGTTCCTTCTCGCGGCCGAGCCCCGACCCAGAGAAGGCATCCCCCCGCGGGAAGCTTCCCGAGCCCACTCGCGCCCTCAGGGGCCGCGCAAGCGGCGCCGTGAAGCAGAGCAACCCCCGCCCGCGCTGCGGCCCAGGCCCGACCCGGAGAAAGCTGCCCCCCGTGGGGGGGGGGGGGGGGCGAACCTACGTACCCACTCCTTCAGATGCCATGCGAACGGTGCCGTGAAGCAGAGCAGCGCAGGGCAGGCTCGCCCATGGGGATCGGCTGGAGGGACGGCGGCTTCGATGTCTGTTCATGGGAGCCTTGGGCGGCGACATTGAAATCAGCTTTTCCTGCATATGGACAGCGTGGGGGCCGCATTTGGCATTTGGCCCATCCTCCTGCTCCTTCTCTCCCCTCCTGTCCCCCCCCCCTTCCTCGTACTCCTACGTAGCCTCCGCGAATCCAGTCCAAGTCTGGTCCAAATCCGGTCCACATTTGTTTCAAATCTGGTTCAAATCAGGCCCAACTTTGATAGTGCTGGGGGCCGCGCAGGCTCCCATGGAACGGGCGCCAGAGGCGGCGAGCGCCGCCTCCCCGTCGCAGAGGCAAGACGCCCCAAAGGCAGGCCGCCACGGAGGCTGGACATCGCGGAGGCAGGGGTCCGCGATGTTCGATGGCGACGAGATGGGCCCCGATAATTCCCCCGCTTCCCCTTCTTCGGCGGCGCGTTCCAGGGCCCCGGGGGCGGGGCGTCGCAGAGGCGGGACATCTCTGAGGCCGGGGTCTCCGGGGGCCGAAGTTCGATGAATCGGCCCCAGCAGATGTCGAGATGCGGGAGGTGGCTGGCGCGCGCGCCCCCCCCCCGAGAGCCAAGATGCCCGGCGCGGCGCGAGAGAAGGTTATCTGCGTCGCGCCGCGTGGCGAGCGCATGGGCGCGCCCGAGCCCCGTCGTGCGTTCCGATTCTGAGGCCAGGGTGACCTGGGCCAGCGGTGCGCCCCGCATGCGACCAGGTGTTTTTTTTCGCACAGTCGCCCGCGGATGGGGCCATGTGCGGGCGCGGCATCTGGGAGAGCGAGGTCTGTCTCAGGCTGGCGCGGGGGCCGACGCAGTAGGTCTTGGCTCGATTTAGTCCGAGCTAGACGGCGCCGCAGCGGGCGGTTTCACACTGCGCCCGCGCGAGGCCCGACCCTGGCGGAGGAGGGGCTGCGTCGCCGTGGACAGGCAGAGAGAGGTCACCATCGTTCAGGATTGAAGGTTGCAGCATGTGATGCATGGTGGCGCTACTTTTACCGACGGCGAGGAGTTGGGCCCGGGCGATTGCGGCGGGCGCGGCGACTCCGGGGGGCTGGGCCTGCAGGAGATGGGGCGCGCCCAAGCGGTGGGGGCGCGCCTGGGTCCCCGGGGGGCGCAGCGGAGCTGCTGGATCCGCGGCCCTCCAGAGCTCTTGCCGTTGGCGGTGCAGGATCACGGCGCCCCCTTCGGCGCGGTCGCGATCAACGGCTGCCCTTGAGGATGCACTTCGGCGGCGGCGCCGCAATGGGGCGATTTCAGCGTGGCCCGTTTTCGAGAGATCAGGTTCACAATCGACAATTTTGCGCCGCCCGCCCATGGATGGCGCAGGGGGGGTCCTTCTCTTCGGCAGCGGGGCGCCCTCTCAGACATTCAGACCCCGCCCTAGCTGTGTCTGGCGGGGTGGCGATCATGGCCTTCCTCGCGGCCGCCGCCCGTGCCCCCCCCCCCCCCTTCTTTGCGGGGTGGCTGGGGCGTCACGGAGGGCGTCCTGGACAGCGGCTTCCATGCGAGGATCCCAGCTGCGGCTATCGCGACGGGGTCGGCGACGCGTTTGGAATCGCGAATTTGATCGCGTCGTCTGTCCGCAGCTGCTGGCCAGTTTCAACCGCGGGTCGAGGCCGAGGGGGCGGCCCATGGAAACATCGTGCGCCAACGCTGTGAAGGGTCGCGGCAGAGTCCGTTTGCGCGGGGCAGCAGAGGCCGGGGGCTTTTCCTTGCAGGCAGCCCGAGCGTGTTGGTGGCGCCCCGCCCCGCCCCGCCCAGCCGGTAGTTTGCCTTCGGTTATTAGTTGGAGCATGTCCTCGCGTCGATGACGTTGGTTCTATTTTCCAAGAGCGGCTTCGCTCGAGTCGTGGATGGGGCAGGCGCGCAGCATGAGGGGCGACGCTGGCGGAGCCAATGGCCTGAGGAGGAGGCGCGTCCTTTTTTTTGCTCGACAAGTTTGAGGGGCTCAAGGAGTTCCCCAACGTGGAGGGCACCAGAATTCGGTAGTCAGTTGCCAAACTATGTCACGGGCTCTGCGGATGGACGCTCAGGGACAATAAATGGGGAGCAGGCGATGGGCACCTCCAATTACCAGCCCGGAAGCCTAGGAAGCAGCTCAGCGAGACGCGCGGATAGGAGTTTGAGAGGGAGCTCTAAATTTCCCCACGCCTTATCCCGCGTCGGTCTCGGGCATGTTGGAGACGACGAATGCGCGCGGGTGGCCAGGAATTGGCGGAGCTGGCGCCGTGCGCCACCATCAGTTGGAGAAGCTCAGAGAAACGGGGGGCGGCGGCCGCATCCAGGAAATACGTGACAGCCAAGTGCGAGAATTGGAACATGTTGCGTTGCATTTCTGGGCGGCAATTGCAAGACAGCTCGCGCTGTGTAATCGCGCTGAGGCAATGAGGAGGACCCGCCCATCTTGAGCGGCTACCTGCCAGATGCAGGGGGGCCTGAACCATTGGGAGTGACGTCCAACCATCGCGAGCTACCTCGCGATTCCAATGGCATTTCCCCCCGAGCCATCGAGCGGCGCGCGCCCGGTCGGCTTGACGCGCGCGCTGGCGCGCATTTCGATCAGAGCGCGCCAGCGGGTCGCGAGGGCATGGGGCGCGAGATCAACTCGGCGGGCTTTGTGGGAAGGGCTCGGCGACGGCGGCACGTCCAGCTAGCTTTGTCCACTACCTCCTCACTTGTTTCGCCGAGGCCAGAGGTCAGACTTGCGCCGACACGTTTTATGTTGTGGCGAAATCGTACGAAACTCGTTCCCACCAACACCTTCGGTTGGCAGCTCGACGCTTCTCCCGTGGCGCGGGCCCCCTCTGGGCCCTGCGCATGCTCTACAGGTGCCCTAGACGCGCCAAGTCGGGGGCCTCGATAAGCGGGCCCGCGAGGGCTGGCGGGGCGGT